AGTCACGCGATGTTTGAAAATTGGTCACAAAAAACAGCGATACTGATTCTTATCAACAACAAACACGTTCATTGTCTGTGACTGAGTGGTACTTATCTTATCAGTTCACCGTCTTAGTCAGATAATAATTAGTCGCTAGCCGCTTAATACTTTCGTAATCGTTCAAATACTATTTCGAAGTCGATGGCTATGAAACGTTTACTTCAATCTGAATGATCTTGAACCTAATATGTGTGGATTTTTGAGCGCACAGATCTCCTCGGATTGCTGGTTCTAATCGTCCGATTTTAATCGCTCCATCTTCTCAAATGTTATAGTTGTAGTTTTGAATGGTGTTCGATTTTTGGTTCGTTACGTTGAAACAACTGGTTTTGAGGTTTTGTGACGACTGTATGTGTTTTCAACGGATTATATGTCAGTAAAGTTGTTGCCTGTTTGTTCGATTATTGAAAAATAGTGTTTTTTTTCACATCTTGAAGGTGACATAATGAAACGAATATTTCACCAATTGCTCCGGTGTCACGATCAGTTTGATTTGATTCGCATTTACCAACAGTCAAACTATTTCACAATAAGAGACACATGATTTTGTACGCTTATCAAGATCTCGTGATGAAATGATGATGCTGTTGAAATTTCATTCTTTGAATTGTTCTGTACTATCGTTCAGTAGTTCTTTACTCACAGTGGATAGTTCTGTACTGTTTGCACGCGCCGATTCATTCGTGACTTTTGTACCTAAACGTATTGCTTCGAGTGTAATATTGAATCAAATTCACTGGAATTTTTTGCTTATTGTCAATGATATTGCTAAATTGTCGTTGACAACAGAAACTTGAGAATAGCAAGAACAAAGGTAAGACTAGCATTGCTAGGAATGAGGATGCTTGAAACGGTATTGACCCTTCCAAATTTGCTGCTATGAAAATAGATTGAGAATGATACCGATGTTGTGAATGTGCTTGTTGACAGAAACTCCTCGAATCCAATTGAGGAGATATTACTTATGAACAGTCTTATAAAGTGCTCGCTTAAGCAGATCATTTGTGCCATACTTTCAGAATATCAGTTGAAGCCGTTTCATTCAAACGACAGCTTGACGACGATCGCAATGCGACTCTACGAACATTTGCTTGGGGAAGTAAAACCAGTCAATGGTGATGATTGCGAAAAAGTCTACGATCAATTCGATTGCTACGTGACAACAGTTACTCAACCAATTGTGTATGTAAAATGAGAAATGTCAATAGAAAAGCTTTACAATCGTCCAAGCCATGTTCAAAACTATCGAATGTTTGAGGAAATACTCATAATGTCCTCAACAAAAAAATATCACTCAGGAAAAATTTCAGCGAAAGAAAAGAAACAGTTAATTTTTCAAGATGAACTGATTTGCAGGATTGTGCGGGACGATAGTGATGGACTTTCCTTGCGAAAATTGGTTATTGCCGTGTTGACACTATTGCTTGTTGGATGCTCAGCACTACTTTTCGTTATGACCATCTATCAAGCAGAAATGCACAGCTCGAATCCAGTTGAGGAGATATTGCTACGAGAGAATTATCCACGCGAGGATTTCGCTTATATTGATCAGTTCATCGACTTTATGAACGAGTGAGCAATCGTTGATTGGTTTCTGGGCATTCTTGAGAACCGTTTGGTGTGATAATCGAGTGAACACAATGGATATGATTATGTTGAGATGTTGAGTGATTCGCTTATTATAGGAACAATATTATATTTGGTTCGGCATAG